CGTTCGCGCTGTTAGTTTCTTTCCGTGTAGCCATTTTGGCGCAAGGATCGCAGCGCGCGGCGCTTCGTTACAATCTATATCGTTCGTCCTTTCCGTATCGCTTGGCGGATGACCGATGCCGCTGATCAGCGCAGGGCCCGACTCGCTGCGAAGGTAGCTGCGCAGAAGCAAACCATCAAGGAGCTGAAGGCCACGATCAGAAGGTAGGGACGCATGATCAATCGCACCGCGGACAGGGCTGGGGGGCATAGGGCCGCGGAACGGCATGGGGCAGAGGCGCGCGAGCCATCGCGGCAGCGGGCAGAGGTCAACGCGCTGCAGCAGGAGCGGCAGAGGCAGGAGATGCGGCAGGAGTACCTGAGGATGAGGGTGGCTGAGCAGAGGCAATGGGCCGCAGAGGCGCGCGAGAGGAGCGAGGCGCTAAATCGGGCGATCGCCGCGGGCGATGGCGACCGTCAAAGAGATGGCGACCGTCGAGGAGATGGCGACGGCCAAGCCGATGAGGCGCTTGCTGCGGGCGATGGCGGCCGTCGAGGATGCGATCTCGATCTATATCTCTGAGTGGGCCGTCGCGGCGGCGCCGATGACGACGCAAAGCCGACGAGGGCGAGGGCGACGGCGGCAACGCAAACTCGACGAGGATGGCGAGGACAGCGTCGACGACGACGCTGAACGTTGCAGCTTGAATGTTCTGTATATAGTGCCGTGGCCTCCCGAGCGGACGGCTGTCTGTTGCGTCGCGGCACAGACCTCGCGGCTCCGTCGCGGCTGGCGGCTCCTCGTTGGAGCACAGTGCGATGCGCTTGAAAAGCATATTGTCTGACGCAGCGCTATGCGCTTCAAATGTACAGCGCTACGCGCTTCAAATGTATGGTCTGGAATCTGGAGTGCGGGCGCAAGGGGGCCATATGGGCCGCGTTGGCAATCGCTTCGAGAAAGAAGGCTAACATGCTAATGCGCTACACCTGTTAGAAGAAGTGAGTGGAAATTGCGAGAGGGTTAGTAGAAGGTGACTGAAGGTTCGTAGAAGTTGTAAGAGAGTTACAACATTGTTATAGCAAGGCTAAGTGATAGCAACACCGGAACTCACCCAAGTAGTGACCCCCCCCCTTGTTTTCAGGGGGGGGTCGAACCGGTAGTGATCCCCCCCGGTTTCCCGCCAGCAGTGGTAGAACACGCTCTTTCTGATAACCAAACATCTCGGAGAACGGTCGAGGCGAATGAGGACAGGCAGTAATGCAGGATCGAAGCCGTATTGCACTGCACGCCGAATGAGTACGTCGTGCCTCACGTGCTCGAAGGTTTTGATCAAGTCTAAGAGTAAAGCAAAGCAAGAGAGTCCCTTCACCATCGCAGATTCTGCCATCACGGCAGACTTCCGCACATAATTTTGGACAGATTTCTTTTGGACACCGAAGAGAGAGGGACGGGCATGCCTAGAAGCCCAGAGATTGCCATAGCCACGGAAGAAACGTGCAAACATACGTACGAAGGTGGTTCAGAGCCCAATTGGGCGGTCGCCGGCCTCTGCCTTCGGGATGAGATGCAACGGCAAATCAGATACCACGGGCGGAAACCGCCCACGGGTGAGAATAGCCCGCCAGAGCACGCGCAAGGAGTCGTAGGCAGAGTCGCACATCACAACATAGTGGCGGGGATGGAGAAAATCATTTCCGACAGCAGTACGTCTCTGGCATTTCCGTGCCAGTCGTTCCTGGGAACAGGAAGGGGATCAACATGTTAACCCAGAACTGGCGGGAAGGACAAGTCAATGCCACTGGAAGGTAGATCCCCGAGGGCATGCCAAAATTGCTCACGCTCTGCGAGGTGAGGTTCTGCAGTGCCCACCTGCGGAGCACCATGTGGGGGGCCGCTCATATTCTGGAGCGGAGACGAAGAAGTTCGTCGTGTGATGAACTTGCGCGCTGCAGACGCTCGATTGGCAGTCACCGCCGTGGCAGCTCAACGGGTCCAAGATGCGTGTCGGCGAGCAGCAGCCGACGTTTCAGCGGCTTCTGCTAGAACAACCACCTGATCGCACAAACTCTGGAGCGCCTCAGCGGGCATAAACGGGATGCAATTGACCTGAGCGCGCCACCACGACCACTCAGCTGGGGTGGCCACCTGACGTTCTGGAGGACGAAATCGAGCAAGGGCACTAATGGACGAAGCAAAATCAAACCAGCGCTCCAAGGAGGCAAGGTACATCAAACCAGCAATCTTGAAAGCTAGATGACGCCAGGTGCGCCCACCAGCCGACGACAGCGGTCCAACAGGAGGCAGCGTTTGGGCTCCAACTCGAAGTTTGGAAGGGGGCATATCCATACTTATCAAGATCATGTTGACGAGGCGATAGATGATATACTCCCATAAGGTCAACAGCCACCGTATTAATCCAACGGGCAGTATATTCATCGAGTTCCTTTATGTCACGCATGGGGCCAGCATGAGCAAGCTAATCGTAATCAGGGGGGGCAGGGTCACAGCCAATGGGGCGATCAATGTGAAGGCGAGGAGACTTACCAAGAATAGTGACCATGGCGTGCTTGACGGACCCGCGTAACACCAGAGCAACAGGTTTGCGCTTGGGAATTCGCGTCGATGGGATTACCTTGACAAGAGCATGGCCGATCGATGGAAATTGGATGCGCGACAAAATAGTCAATAGTTCAAGATGTTCCAGCATTTTCATATGCAGCAGTATCAGGAGCAAGGACGTGGCCGTTGACAAGGGTAAGGAAGCCAGTGCCGACAAGATCAGCAGGAGACATGGTCCAATCAGCAGCAGTAGTGCACGGTGTGCCCACGCTCCTGACGAGAGCAGCTACCCGAACACAGCTACCCGAAACGCGTTGGCGTGAGTCCAGACCTGTATAGCAATGCAGATTGATCCAGGGAGTGCCGCTGGGAGTCACGCAGTGCCAGAGTCGGAAACTGCAGCGTTCGCCAGGCGGAGCGACGACCTGAGGTCTCAGGTTAGGATGTTCAAACCTACTTTGGCCCTGATCACCAGAAATAATTTCGAGCGCCAGAAAAGTACCCCAAAACTCAAGGGTTTTCACGTTCCGGGGCCCTGGGAGACACTCTTTCGACACTGTTTCGACACTCTGTGGACACTCTTTCTACACTTTTCCGGGTGCTCGAAATTATTTCTGGGATATGGTCCGTAAGTACGATGGGAGCAACATAAGTCTCAGGAACGGAGGAGAGAAGGAGTGAGTCCAGCGAGGCAATCAGCCGACCCCAGCAGACAAACCACCCAAGTCCGTATCAACATAATGGCGGAGACGAGCATGAAGACCTCTTGCGCTTGCAGCGGCCACGGAGGTTTTCATGTGCACAGGGCCCCGCAACAGTTCCTGGATAGCGAGACCATCAAAGTCTAGAGAAGCTGCCAGATCACGACATTGAGACCGAGTAGTAATGTTGGCCGCGAGCAACTGCCATTTCTCATGGGTCTTCTCACGACGGGAACAACCACCGGGGCGCCTGCGGGGGCTCCCACCGCGCGAGGGGCCTCCAGAATTAGGTGGATGAGCAAAATCCTGCACGCGGCGACGAGTTGTACGCTCCCACTCAGAGGTGTCCATTTAGGGTTCGGATGGGCCCCCAGCTTCGCTGAGGTCCTCATCCTCCAGCTCCTCGCCCAGATCGTCGCCCTCCATGTTGAAAGCCGCGAAACGGTTCTGACGAACCGGATCTGGTTCATGATCATTTGCCACATGATGTGCAGGAGAATGTTCGCGAGCACACGGGCGACCTTTACTTTCTTACCCTTCCCCCCGCGTCCTCTCCTACGGACCTGCCGAGGCCCACATGGGTTCTCAGGGGGAGGTGCGTCCTTCAAGCGTCCCTCCGAAACCTCAAGCGCGGCCTTCAACTCAAGATCTTCTTCCCCGTCTATGCCTACCTTATCAAGACGAAGGCGGAGAAATGCAAGGTCAGGATCCGAATCAGGCGGAGGAGGCAAGGTGTAGTCCTTGCGAAGCTCCTCTTGTTTAGCTTCCCAGTCCTTCAGGTCCAGCTCAAGGGTGTCGCATTTCATGCGGAGGTTGTGGAGCCTTTCGTCGCAGTCGCTGGCCTTGGCCAGCTCCTCGTCCCGGATAGCAGTAGTGTCCTGGATAGTTTTGTCAATTTTGTCAAGTTTAAGCTGAACCCAGCGAGCCTTCTTGGCCGCCCGCTCAGACTGGATGGGAGGAGGCAGTAAGCTAGATTTAGCGGAGCGATGAGCATGGAGACGACTTCTAATGGTGCGTATCAATTCGTCAGGGGTACCAGCACCATCAGCACGATTCGAAACGGATTGCAGGTCGCGGAGATGGCGCTCCGTAGAAACAATCACATCCGACAGATCGGCATAATCAATGGCGTCGTCATCGGCGAGACCGGCGCTGTTAGCTTCCCAGCACGGTTGAACCTCACCAGAACGCGTCGTGGACCGGGGGGGCGTGGAGGAGGAGGAGCAGGAGGAGGAGGAGGAGGATGAGGAGGAGGAGGAGGGTGAGGAGGAGGAGGGTGAGGAGGAGGAGGAGGAGGAGGATCCTAGAGAGAGCCATGAGAATCATGAGCATCCTCGTCATGAGAATCATAGCCACGCCCGCGCCCTGGGAAGGGCGTGGGGCAATACTTGCACGTTGTACGGGCACTGAACAACCATATCCATGAGGCTTTCTGGCAATTCGGACCTAAGCAGGGCGGCATCTGATCGAACAGCCAGCCGCTTGAGCCAAAACGGCTTGAGCCAACATGGCTACGGAGAGGAGGAGGAGGTGGAGGAGGCGGCGGCGGAGGAGGAGGAGGAAAAGGCGGAGGAGAAGGAGAAGGGAGGATGGGGAGGTCTTCCTCCTCCTCTTGCTCCTCCTCCTCCTCCTCCTCCTCCCCCTCCTCCTCCCTCTCGTTCTACCTCCTCCTCCTCCTCCTCCTCCTCCTCCTCCTCCTCCTCCCCCCGCTCCTCCCTCTCCTGCCCCTGGCAGCGGTTGTGGAAGACCCGGCCCATCAAGGCACGCGCCTTTGTGCCCGTGGGTGCAGCGGCGGCCGGAGCGCAGGCGGACCCAGGGCCGGGCAAGCAGCGAGGCCCGAGGGAGGAGAACGCGGCACAAGCGCAACCGCTCGGAGGTCCGCGCGGGCCTCTCGGGGCCGGGCGCCGGGGCCCCCTGTGGCTGCTCCGCGCGGCATGGGGTGCCAAGCAGTGGCGAAGCGTCCTGCTCCTCCTCCTCCTCCTCCTCCTCCTCCTCCCTCCTCTTCCTCCTCTCCCTCCTCTTCCTCCTCCTCCTCCTCCCTCCTCTTCCTCCTCTCCCTCCTCTTCCTCCTTCCGCCCACGCAGGATACCCTCCTCGCCGATAGCCCTACCAAACAGTGTTCTAAGCAACGTTTGTTGTTTCCACGAAATGTTCTTAGAACATGTCTGGCGGAGTCTGTCTTGTTTACACACATCGGGCGCATGTTCTAAGAACACCGTTCTTGTTCCCAGGACACTTCTAGGTTCTAGGAACACTTCGTGGTAGGACTATAGGAATGCCGGGACGGTCGGTCCCTGCTCAAATCTAAGGAACCCACGCAGACCTCCGACAGTTTGCTTTATGGTGGTTCTTCTTGCTCGAAAGGCCAGGGCGTCTCCCAGCAGGTGGTGACCGCGAAGCGAAGCACAGTGATGATGTGCAACGTGCCTCCCTCTTACACGCGGGAAGATGTGGTTGTCTTGCTGGACTCCTACGGCTTCGCGAAGAAGGTGGATTTTCTCTATATGCCCATCGATTTCACGACCATGCTCGGCATTGGTTGTGCGTTTTTGAATATGACTACACGCGAGCACGCGAAGGAGTTCGCGCGAGTCTTTGACGGTTTCACTGATTGGGGCGCAGCGGACTCGCGTGTATGCCGTGTACGTTGGAGCGCAGTTCAGGGCCTCGCGAAGAATATGCAGCGCCTCCAGAACAGTCCCGTCATGAGTGCTTCGGTGCCGAACTCATGCAAGCCACTCCTATTCGAGGACGGTTTGCGCATCCCATTTCCAGTGCCTATTCAGACGTCGTGTACCGAGCGCAATAAGGCGCGTCAGGTTAAAAAGGTCTAGGCTAATACAGGATAAACCTCGGCGGGAATTGGCGTGTAGGCTTGCCTTGCTGTAGAGCGTTTGGTGACGACCAGTTCGCCTTTGCAGCCATGTAGTATCACCAGCGTTTTCCCTCTCACCAGTCCGTGCAGCAGCATGGGTTCATGACTGAAGAATCAAATCAAATATGTAGCAGCCCGCAGTTGCGGATAAGAGTGAGGGGGCGGGTCGCGGGCGTATCGCGGGTGGGTCGGAGGGTCGGTCGCGGGTAGGTCGCAGGTGGGTTGCAGGTGAGTCGCGGGTGTGTCGCGGCTGGGTCGCGGCTGGGTCGCGGGTAGGTCACGGGTCGGTCGCGGGTGGGTCGCGGATGGGTCGCGGGTGAGTCGCGGGATCATTTCAAGATTGTTCATTCTTATTTGTTCGCGTGTCAGTCGACACGTTCCCAAACCCTCGATAGCCGTCATTTTCGTCTCCGATCCTGGCCCTCTCGGGGATGTATCTTCCCGGTCTGCCGCGTGTCACTGGCGCAGCCCTTGCAACAGGGGAAGGAGGGACAGATGGAAGGGGGGAGAGACAAGGATGGAGCACGAGAGAGATTAGCAGGAGGGGGACTACAGCCGGGGCCCTGAAGAAGGAACCCTTTTGGTTGGGGAGGGGCTCCGCGTTCCTTAAGTGTTTCACAGCTTGCCTCAGATTTTCCACATGTTTCCGATAGGAAATCGAAGTTTAGCTTTCCTTATTTAGGGATTCTTAGGTCAACTCCCCCACTGTAGGAGAAGAAACACGTGGCAGAACCATGCGGGCTGATCGGGCGGGCAGACCCTAACGGGCGGGTCGGGAAGGCGGCCCCTGGCGGCCAGGTCGAGCAGCCGGGACTGCGAGGAGCGCTCGAGCGATGCAGCGCGGCTCCAAAGTGAATCGTAAGAGAAGCCAGAGCGAGAGTTCGATCCCTGAGCGTAGAGGGCGCGGCGTCTGAATACACTGCGGGGAAGTGCCACGCGAGAGCGCGGTTTCTGCACAAGTTATGAGGAACTCCAGCGCAAGAGTGTGCTTCTGACATCAGTTGTGCGGAAGTATCAGGTGGGAGCCGTTATTGTTGTAGTCCGAGGGCCAACACCCATATCTGAGCCGCAAGACTTAACACCATGTGCGAGCCCCAGGCGGAGCATGTTAATTTCAGTACACAAAGTGCACCGAGGGGGACCAACACTACTTTTTATTAAGGCATGACGGTTCATCAACAACAACATCAACAACAACAATCCGCGCCGCGGAACCCCACTTCAGCCACACACCCAGGGACAATGAATGACCGTTCGGCCCCCTCCCGCTGCTGCAGTATAAGTGGCGTCTGGGTCCTCGTGCTCCGTGGCAGCGCGCTTTTCCCAAATTCCCCTCCCCGCACCCTGGCCGGGTATCAAGGTTCACTCCTGGGGTCCGGGGTTCTTTTTCGGAGCCGTTTGAGGATCATTACAGCTTCCAGGACGGGGCCAGGAGACCGCCAAGATTTTCAAATCTGCCTTAGATGACCTCCAAGATGCCCCAGCACGGCCCCAACATCGCTCCGAGCTCGCCCAGAGTCCCCCGAGGACCCCCAAGAGACATACATCGTGCAACAACCATTTGAATTTATATGATTTGGGTCTTCTCGCTTTTCGCTCCCGATGGGCTTCCCAAGCCCCGATACGGTCACGAAACGGATTGAAAGAGCCCCATGAGGAGCCCAAGAGGGTCCGGCCCCAAGACGGTCCAAGAGGCCCCCAAGAGGTTCTCCAAATCTGCCCAAGAGTGCCATGGGGCCCGATATCGCCACAGGAGGGCCCCAAAGCCCCCCAAAGAGCGCGAAGAGATCCCCACGACCCCCCGCAAGATCCAATAGGGCGCCAAGGGGGTTCCGAGAGTTCCCCAAGAGGACACCACCACGGCCCCAAGAGACTCCAATATGGCCCAGGAGTACCCCAGTGGGCTCTGATAACAGAAGGTCCGCGTCGGCCTTCTTCTCCTACTCTTGCTCTTCCTCCTTGTGCTTTCTTCCTTACATCCTCCTTCATCACCTCCTCATTTTCTTTATGTGCCTCTTCTCTCTCTTCGCAAGATGACTCCACGAGGCTCCTAAGACAACGCGCATGTCCTATGGGTCATACGGGGTCCGAGGTAGCCCCAAGAAGCGAGGGCCCTTGTGGTTGAGTCCTGGTGTTTTCGCCATCCTGGTGGCGCGACTACCTCAGCCGTCAACCATACAGGACGCCCGCCAACTTACCGAAACAGATACGCACGGGAGCGCGCGAGTGAAAGTGGCGGTTGCGCAACTTCTTTGCGCCTCAGTGGATGGCTACAACCCGTCCGTGATCAAGAACATTCGCCGAAGAAACGTTGGTGGATGGTTTGGTGGGGATGCGCGAGGCGTCAACACTTGGCTCTGTGGCACCCATACCTCTCAGGCTGACAGGCAGGGTCATTCCTACTTTTGCCACAACGGGTGTTTTCTCCTGTTTCCCGGCGAGTTTCGGACCCCTTCGGGACGAGAGAGGCCCACAGGTAGCGTGGCCTGGTGACCTTGGGGGGTCGTGCTTACCCTTTCGGCAGCCTGGGAGCCGACGCCAGCTGAGGGGGCGTACTGAGGGGGGGGCACGAGGGCAAAGCACTTAGAGGCACCCCACTCTGCAGTATCTTCCAAATCGGCCAGCTCGACAAGAGTTTGTGCGCGCACGATTCCAGCTGTACATCCGTCTGGCGAGCCTCGTTTGGAGCACAGTTCCACGTGCAATTGTTTAATGTGTGTTCTTACCGATGTGTCCTCATATGCCGCGGCCGCGAGAGGGTGTCGAACTCCCCCCGGCCTTTTTCCACCCGGCTCGTCATGGCAGGACGATAGCGACGCTGCGGCTTGTGGTCCAGGCGGCAGTGCAGGTGCAGTATTTGAGCAAGTGCGCAGCCGGACCGAGGTATAGGGTCGAGGTCGGTTCGGGGAGGGTACCCTCGTGTTCTTCGTGTGTTGTTGGACGTTCTTGTGCATCCTGGGTAGCGTACCCGTGGATCTTCTGTTTGTTCTGGCCGACGGAGGGTCTCATGTCCTTGAAGGGTATTATTTTGGCCTAGGTCCGACTGCATGGCATCATCATTGCCGGGCTGCTCGGCGCAACAGGGCAGGGCGAGAGGGAGGACGGACCTTGCATACGCTCAAGCAGTCTGGGCGCAGTGGCCAGGCAGGAATCGACCCGCCCGCTGTATCCTGTCGAGCCCAGGTCTCGCACAGGTGGTGCACGAATGGGAGGGGGCGCAAGTTCGGGCGCGCCAGAAAGGGCCAACGGGAAGGTGGGCCCAGGGAGGGGTCCAGGCCACCCAAGGGCCAGAGCAGGCGGGAGATGGGGTCGGAGGATCGTGCCGCATCGCCGATGCATAGGCGATGCGGCTCGATGTGAAAGCCCGTTTGACTCAACTGCGGGCAAGAGTTATCCATATCCAGTGCGTGGTTGGATTTTCTTGGAAGGGGCGCCACAAGGCCGGGGCACACTGGATTTGGATGCCAATCGAGCCTCCAGGGGCCAGACTTTGGTTCATATCCACTGCGCCACATCCAGTGCGCCTCGGGTTCCGGGGGAAGGGGCCCGAAACTCGAGGCTGCAGAGGATTTGGGTACGAGTCTTGCCCGCCTCCACGCTGACGTCGCCGATGCATCGGCGATGCACTGGCGATGCGGTGCGACCCTCCGACCCCGCTTGCTCGGACTCCACGCAGGAGGCATCCGGTGGGGGGGGGGGGAGGCTCCGACGCGGGCTCCAGAGCGGCGGGCGTGGGGGAAGGCGGGGCGGGGGCGCGGAGGGTCCCTCTGGGACAGTGGCTCGCACAGCAGGGATCGCCCGAGGGACGATGCTCTACCCCCCCCCGCCCTCCCTGTGCAGGCAGCAGGGCTCCCCGAGCAGCAGGGATCAGGGACCAGGGATCGGCAGCCTTGTCCTGGTGGTCGCCGGCACCCCCTCCCAGCAATTGCATCGCGTGGGCAGACGCCAGGGCCGCCAGGGCTTGTGCGGCGACGACTCCTACCTCTTCTGGGCGACGCCCTTGGTGGCCTGGAGCTTGCAGAACCTCCGGCCAGACTGCCGCGTCCACGTCGCGGTGGAAAGCTCCGCCACCACCCACCCCCTCCACAGGGCGGCGATGGCCACGGCTCTCGGCGATCTCGGCGACGCTGGGCATGCGCTGGTAGTTGACTCTTCTGCGTGGGCTCCTTTCCCGCGGCGGCGCCTTTACCTCAGCACGCTGCCGATCGTGACGGACCCCGACTTTACGCCAGTTCGCCGGACAGCTCCCTGGCAGGGAGGTTTCGCGCCCCACTGGGAGGGAGGCACGGCGCCGATGACGCGCTCGACAGGCCTTGGCGATCAGATCCGGCACAGCACCCCGCAGTACCACCCGCGCACACTTCTCTACGCTGCCGACTCGCCGTGGCGCCAGCTCACTCTCAACGACGTCGCCGCCCGCTTCCGCCGCATCCCCCCCGGGCACCTCCTCCGCGCCTTCGGAATCGTCCTGGGGGGGCGGTCGCTGGATGACGACCTCGAGGCGCTGCGCTTCGCCTGCTGGGTGGGGACCCACGGCGCAGCCCACGGAGTGCGGATGCCGTCTCCCACAGAGCGCGCGTCGGCTACCGGCCAGGGGCCCTATCTCCTGGGGCTCGGCCTGGGGCCCCGCCAGCTGTTCGACGCGGTTGGAGACCACTCGGACGGGACGGCCCTCCAGATGCGGCTGCGCGGCCCGCTCCGGGATTGGTTCGGTGGCAGGGTCGGGGAGCCGCGCGCGTACCGGGCGCCGGCCGAGCTGCTCTCGCAGCGCCGCCGGCTTGCTGCTGACGTGGGGGACCTGCCGGGCCCGCCCTGCCCCACGCGCGAGTGGCCGGTGCCGCTCGACCTGGTGGGGGACATGCTCTACGCCCGGCGGCGCGCCCAGCGCCTGGCTGGCCCGAGCGACGGGCTGCGCAGCGCCGGTCCCTGATCCGCACCCGCCGTCGCAGCCTCGGCGTCGGCCGCAAGCGGCCTGCCACCCTCGGGTTCAGCCACGATGGCACCCGCTGCTGCAGCTGCAGCGCCACCCCCAGCGGCCGAAGACGGCCGCCTCGCCCAGTGATGGAGCAGGACGGCGACCTCCTCCTGGACGCCCTTGGGCGGCCGCCTCCGGGCGACCCGCTGCCCCTGGCTCGCACGCGTGCCTGGGCCGCGGTCCGGGACCAGCTCGCGGTCGCTCTCGCTGCCGCTGGGGTGTCAGCGAGAGGCAGGTCGGCAAGCGCTTTGTGGCTGCTGCTCCACCGCTCCGGGGCGCCGCCCGGATCCACGTGGGGCCGCTTGTGTGAGGCTCGTGGGTTTTCCCATCTTGCGGCGGCGTTGCGCGAGTCCCGGGCACGGATAGGCCTCCGCCTGGCGTCCTGGAACATCAGGTGGCTCGTCGACGCCCACGCCACGAACAACGGGGCTAAGCGTCGGATGGTCCAGGGATGGCTCGACGCCGGGCGCGTCGTCATGCTCGGGGAGACGCACTGGGGCCCGGCGGACCATGCGGTGTGGGCATCCCAGTTCCCGCCTGCCACGGTTCACGCCTCTCCTGCACGGGTCGGGCCAGGCGGCGGAGCTACGGGCGGCGTGGCCGTGCTGCTCCCTGCATCGACGCGGGCGACGTCCGCGACAGAGCTGGTGCCTGGGTGCGCACTGGCTGTCCAGGCGGTCGTTGATGGTTCCCCAGTTCGTTTCGTGTCCATCTACCTGCCGCCCGGCGAGCAGCGCGCTACGCTGGCGGCACTTCGCGTGGTTCTCCCAGCAGCCCCGGGAGTGGCCACTTACCTCGGCGGCGATTTGAATTTCCATCTTCATGAGCCGCGGGGGGGGGGAGGAGGAGCTCGCCGCGGACTTCCACTCTTTCCTCGTCTCGCACGGCCTGTCCACGGTCACCGGCGCCGTGGCCATGCGACGCGGAGCACGCGGCCCACCCGCACAGCTTGACCTCATGGCTGTGCCCCTGCAGGAGGCGTGGCGGTGGCGCCCCGCCTTGGTGTGGAGGCTGCCGCTTTCCGACCATGCCGCGATCCTCGCTGGCCCGGAGGCGCAGCATGGCACGGCGGCGCGAGCACTCACGCCTGCCACTTTCAAAGCTCTCTCCCAAGAGGCCCACATGGATCTCCGCGGGCGGTGTGCCCTCCTGGGGCGCCTGTTTGCCTTGCCAGCCGTCGATATTTCTGGCTTGCGCCCGTCGCCGTGGGGAGACCGGCCCTCGGGCCCTGGAGAGGTGGCACGAGAACAGCTGAACGCAGACATTCACGACGCGGACAACGGCCACCACGACGCCGACGACGGCGCGGGCCTGCCACGCGCGCCGCGGGCGCTGAGGACGGCGATGGCGGCCCCGGGGACGGCCCTGAGGTACCGATCCTCCCCGCCCTCATGCTCTACGGGCGTGCCGCCCTCTCTGCAATGCTGGCCGGCTGGTGGGAGGACTGGCGCAGGCGGCGGCCCACGCCAGACCCGGGCACAGAGCTCGCGCGCGCGGCCGCCCGCGGCGGAACTTACGTTCCCTCCGGACCCACTGGCGACTGGATGCGTGCCCTCGGCTGGGACGGACGTGAGCTCGACCAGGAGGCGCTTGCCGTCTGGCTCGCCCTGTGGCGCCGGGAGCAGCAGCACCACCGTCGAGTGCAACTGCGGCCATGGGAGCGAGGCGCCTCCGCTGCCAGGCCGGCGCTCGCCGAGCAGTTCCGCATCGGGCGCCAGCTCTTCAACCGCGCCCATCCGCTCCGTGGCGTCCGAGACGCCGGCGACCGCTGGCACGACGACCCGACTGCAGTGGAGGCGATTATTTGGGAAAGTCGGGAGGCGTTGTGGGGCTCGGCGCCGCCCACGCCCGCACGCGGCCCCATTCTCCTTGACGACTATTTCTTGCACCGCGCGGTGGACCTGCCTGCCCAGCCGCGGCCGCGCTGGCGGCGCCTCGCCTCCTTGGTATTTGGCCCTTCGGGCTCGGCCGCGGGCCTGGACGCCGAGCCGTGCGAGTGCTACCACATCGGCGCGCGCTTCGTGGCTGCGCTCCTGGGTCAGGCCCTCCACGCTGCGCAGTCATGGCCTCAGTTACTTTCGACTGTGCTGGGTCCGTCAGTGGACCTCCTCATCTGGATTTTGAAAAAGCCAGACGGCGAGAGGGCGGGCGATATGCGGCCGCTCCAGTTGCCGACATGCTTCCGCAGGCTGTTCGGTGCTGCCTTGGCGTCGGCGGCGGGCCCTGCACTCGAAGCGCAGTTCGCCGATGGGCAGGCGGCGGCATCGGGAGGCTCATGCGGCCCCAACATCGCGGCAGCTTTCCGCCACCTGGAGAATCCCGCCCCCGCGCTGGCTCCGCCGCCTGGCCCACTCTGGGAAGCTTCGCTGGGACCGGACGCCGCGGCCATCGAGCACCACATCACTGAGGTCGAGGAGGGCGATCTTCGGCAGGCGAGCGCGGTGCTCTGCGCCGATCAGTCCAAAGCCTTCGAGCAAGCGTGTCTTGGGCCTGGCTTCGAGAGGTCCTCGAGTGGTGGCGCCTCCCAGCGTGGGCCACGAACGGTTTCTTGAGCTTGGTGGTGGACCGAAGTGCCCAGGCTCTCCGGGCCGGCAGGGGCGGGCCCCCGCGGCGCCTCAGAAGGTCCATTGGGATGGGCGGGACCGCGTCGCCGCTGCTGTGGAACATTTGCTACGACCCGATCATCGCTGGATTGCAGAGGGCGTGGGGAGTAGCAGACCCCACTTTCATGGACGACACTGCCGCTCTCGTGCTTGGACCCCGGCAGGCCTTGAGAGTGTCCTTCTACTTGTTGTGCGCCTCCTGGGTCGCGGGCCTAGCCGTCGAGGCGCACTCCTGCGCACTCTTGATCCTGCCTGGGGCCCCCTTGGTGGTCCGCCAGACGTGCGCGGACCTTCCAGTCAGCATGGCGGATTTCAGCGGCGATTTGTACATCACTGGCTTGCTGCCGGAACTGGTGCGGGACATCCTCGCCAGCCGCTGCGGGCAGGCCGCTGTCGCCGGCTGGCGCGTCCTCCGGCGAGCCTGCACTTGCTCGGTCAAGTCCGCTCTGGTGCCGGCTGCGCACCTCGACAGATGGGCGGTCTGCATGGCGGCGTCGCCCTTTGGGCGCACGGCCGTCCAGGCAACCTGCCCGTACCTGGGCGCAGCTCTGGGCTCTCGCACGCTCTTGGCCGGTGCTCCGCGGGGCTGGTCCGCTGGCGCTCTTGCAGCGGTCCG